AGAGATAGGTTGATCATTAGACTGTGCGATATGAGTTACTGCCCATCTCTGATAATGATGGATTATTATTGTCTGATTGGTTAGCCATCACCAGTTTGTCTGAATAACAAATCAAGCAGACACAAAGTCAGACGACTGTATTTGTCAGTCTTTCTGTGACTTGTCCCTTGAAAGAGTTTTATATTTAGTTAAAAGTCCACACCTCCATCCCATAATGAGTGATTTAAAATATGTTGTCAAGTAGAGTCAAAACTATTTAAAAAATTGTGATTAAAGCACATTTCCATTTGTGCCCAGCTGTTATTCTTGTTAAAAACAGTGTTTTTATGGCCTCTCCTGGCTTTGATATGTTTTTGTACTTTCTTCTGTTAGTGACTTACAAAAGGTTTCTAGCTGTTCTCATTGACCTGCTTTGGATGAAACGTTTTTGTGATCCATCCAAATCCACCAAATCCCAAATGTGTGCAGTGGAATTAAAGTGCACACTTTGAGTACTTGAACTGACGGACTGCTTGTGGCCTTTGTCTTGTTGGTGCCCACAACAGTCCAGAAGGGTTTCCACGACGCAACAAGATGCTGTTGTGCATCTAGCAGCAGCCTTTCTGTGGCACAGGAACAGTACGTAGTTGCCGTCACCTGCACTCCGGTGTCTGAGCTCCCTGACAGATCTGAAGTGTTCCTGTACATTTGTTGACCTCCTTATTGCTCAGTCGCTGCTTCTTAGCAGCTGTTCTTCCCTTTTCAGCCTTGTTCATTCAGTTGTCTGATTATGGTCGTTCTGAAAGTCTTCTCAGACTAGTTAAGACTTCTTCGTAGCAGTAATCTTCTTTTCTCTCCAAGTACTTAAGTTTGAGGTGTGTGACATCTGTTTCAGTCAGCTTTCATTTCCTGCCTCTTCTTTTCTAAGTACCAGTGTTTGCAGCTCGACCACATTGTGAGAACAACATCTTTCCCCCCATTTGTTTCAAAGACCATCCAGTTATTCACACTTTCATTTAGTTCTAGATGATTTAGCCTGCTCAGAGAAGACATAAGTTATAATAATAATGCGATTTGCTGTCTGTGCAGGTACTCGGGATGCAACAAAGTTTCAAACGTTTGGCCAGTTGGGGGCAGCAGAGGCTACATAATGAAGCAAACTTGCAGTGTGTTTGAGTGACTGAGGTTTGTTTCGCTGTCGTGTCTCACAGTGTGCCACGCAGAGCTGAATGCTATTATGAATAAGAACAGTGCTGATGTGAAGGACTGCACCATGTATGTGGCTTTGTTCCCCTGTAATGAGTGTGCCAAGCTCATTATTCAGGCAGGTGAGTGTTAACAGCACACTCTGTTTCTACATTTATACTGATTCATGATATTAGGAGTCACAGCAGCCAGTGTTGGCAGAACTCACTTCATTTTTAATAATAATAATGATCAGTG